ACCACAGATAACGAAGCTGAGCCAGAAGTGGAAGCGATGATGGTGATTTGTTTGCGGCTGAGACGCTTATCGGCGACTGAAACGTTACCGCGACCGATTGTGTTTGGCCCTTGAGATAAAGTAATCCTTGGGGATGATTCGTCTTCCTTTAAATCTGATTTCAATGGAATCAAATACGCAACCTATAAACAGATACAAAATCAGAGGAAGGTTATCAATATATGGGCAATTAGAAGAAGGCAGAAATTAGGGTTTGGTTTCGAATTACCTGAGAGAGTGCCATTAACGGAGTCTGAGGGTGGTTTGTGCAGTGAAGTGTACTGAAGAGGAGGAAGGAGAACAAAACGCAGCGTTTTGGGGAACCCTATAAAGCTCAATGGGATTAAAAGAAGAGGAGGTTTGCGAAATTTGGGGATGTTTCAATTGAGAAATAAGCTCTCTCGATCTTCGCTGAATTGGCACATAAAGAAACGCAGAAACCCAAATCAAATACGAGGATAAAAATGGAATCTTTAAGACATGAAAAGATGGAAGAAAATGGATCAAGACACTCAAACGTAACGGTAAGTAACGATTTTCCATGCCGGCGGCGACAATCTCACCACCGCGTCATCATCATCATGATTGATGTTTTATTGACTAAATAAAGTTTTAAGTAAAGTTTTTTGTAAAGTCTGGGTGGTGTAGTCGGTTATCACGCTAGTCTCACACACTAGAGGTCCCCGGTTCGAACCCGGGCTCAGACATTTTGCTTTTTTTTACTTTCGTTATTTTCAAAATTCCAATATTCTTGAGTTAACACGTGTCACTCACACAAATGAATTAGGGAGACGCGCGAAGCCAGCGCGGGAAGAGCTTACGTCATCAACTTCGTTATGGGCTTTGTATGATTATGGGCCTATAGGATTCCCGTTTTACTCAACCCGTACGATGCTTTGCCTATATATTTTTCTTACGTTAAAACGGTTCGAATAATATATGATTTGATGTATTTCTATTCAAAATTTTTAAATTGCATACAACTCTTAAATTAGTTCGACTAGTCAAGAAGAATAGTGTTTACAAGCAAAATATGTTTACATTTTTCATAGAACAAACCAAACTTTTCTTGGAAATTTGAGAAAACAAACTAATCATAAAAAAAAATTATGATAGACTGACCAGTTTTGCTTCATCCGTGTTAGATAACAATCTCTCTTATTTAGTGAATGTTAAACTGTATTTTAAATTGCATTGTTATTTCATCCGTGTGCATATCGTTTCTTAGTTACAAATTAAGTTGAACGAAGAGAAAATATTGTAAGTCGTTTTTGTTGTTTATGGTTGTGGAAATCGTGAAGCAAGCCATTATGGGATTCCTACCTCATATCTAGTGTCTACGAAAAAACGGATTGAACTAAACCGGATGCAAATACTTTTATCGACGTGCGCATGAGGTCTGTTGATGTAGTTGGTGGATGTCCATGTCGTCTCCCTTTTCTTATTCTATAAGTGATTTAACGGATAATCAATCTCTCGAGATTGAATATTTTATCTAGGTTTTACCACTATTTTTATCTCTAAGTGAATAAATGATAGGCTCATCTTTATGGCTAATTCTAATTATATTGTCTTTTTATACGCATGTTCATCTCAGACCTTAAGTTGTATATGAACTCCTTAGATGCTTTGCATATATCTACTTAAACCATTTTTAAGTACTTAACATATAAAAATTGGTTCTATGAACAACTATCTCAGCATTACGTTGAAATGTTACTATCGAATGCGTGTCATTGGACGAACTTGAAGACTAATCCCGGGACACAATAATTGATGTGATGAAGTCCAAAGCGTTTGTGAAATACCGTCAAAAAGATATTAATTATTAATTACTAGGTGAAGAACCCGTATATATACGGGTTTGTGATAAAATATTTTATAATCTATGATAAAATATTTTATAAGCCCTGAAAAAATCAAATTCAAAAAAAAAAATAAAAAATGAATAAAATCATCCGTGGAAAAAAAAAATAAAACCGAAAATATTGATATAAAATAAATTAAGAATTACTTTTTTATCTTGGTTTTTTTTATTTGATTTCCTAATAATTCTTACATTTTATCACGTAATTAGTTTTTTTTTTCTATTCATGTATGAAGTAATATAGTTTTTAGAGAAATTTTAAAAAATGCCACATATCCCATGCCACTTTACAAAAATACCATCTTTTTCAACTTTTACAAGCGTGTCATCCTTTTTTGTATATATTCCCAGATTATTCTCGTTATAAACTGTCATTTTTTCTTATTCTCTTTAAATCAATAACAGTTTTTTATCTTTTTTTCTCTCTCATAACTTTTTGTCGTTTCTCTTTCTCTCGTAACTTTGTATCCTTTTTTATTTTCTCTCATTCATAATTTTTTTCTTCTTCTCTCAAAAATCAGATCAGATTTTATGTTTAGATCACATAAGTTGTTTCTCTCTCTGAATCAGATCTCGAAATTGTAAAATTGGATCTGAATTTTATTCTTGCTGTCTCTGATCTGAGATTGGATTTGGTAGATTTTTTTTTTGTCACAGATCTGGTGGACATATGAAAAAAGAAGAAGAATAATATTCTCAAAAAAACTCAAAAGGAGAAGAAAAATCAAAAACGTTTTGATAAAAGATACAAACGACTGTAAATTTTTGAGTTTTGGTTAACTATTGGACATTTAGGGTATAGATTTTGGGGGGAGGGGGTTAGGGTTTTCATTTACATTATAAAAA